TTTTTCTTCAGTTGAAAAATTTCAAGAACAATATCTGAAATATTTCTCTTATACTCAGTTCTTCTTATTTTATTCTTTAACTAATTTTTTTAAATTATTTTTCTGAATGACATAATTTGTTGTATTACAATTGTGAACGATATATTGCTTAAAAATAGTTGATATTATATTTCTTGCCCCTATTGCAGAAAGAAAGTTTCTTTTATAATTATAAATTTTAATTGTGAATTATGTTATTAAGATTTTGAGTACCCAATGATAAAGTAATTAATTTATTGATATAGTTATTACGCTATGTGTTTTAATTTTAAAATTTTAATATTAAAACAAACTAAATTATATATTATTATCTTTATTTATATATATATATATATATATATATTACATGTTTCGTCTTGAGCTTGATATTAAAGATTCTACTTATTCGACTATATTTGTCTTATTTAATGAAGTTGTTGAATAATTAACATAAAAGTAAAGTTAAAATACCTCATTGCAACCTTTGAGATTATAAAGAAATGTATTGTTAAGATCTAACTTATTAAAAAAATATAATCATTTGGTTGATTATATAAATAAAATATATTAAAATAAATAACTATTTTTATGCAATAATTTTTGTTAAGATGATGGTAAAGGGTTAAAGTTGTGAAGGAAACTTTAAATAATATAATTACTTCACATACTTTTCAAATAAAAATGTTGATTTGCTCTGAGGAAAGCATAACTCTTATGACAGGAAAAGAGAGAAGGAGATGGAGAGAGGGATTAGTCAAGTCTCTAGTATCAAGTGTGTAAAACCTTTATATATAATATAAAGTCTAAAAGATAATGATTTGACTTCCACAAAATAATATTTTATCTATTAAAAAAATGACTTATCCATAAATAAAGATAATCTTCTATCATCAATTTCAAATTTTAGATTTAAATTTAAAATTTAAATTCAAGTTCAGAATTCACTCCTTTATTCATTTCAAATAAAATTAAAATAAACTTAGTCAACTTAATAGGCAAAATAACAATTTCAATAAAAAAAGAGGATAAAATCTCATTAATAAAGTAGTAAAATGACCATTAATTAAAAGCATTATTTGTCCTCAAGCAATAAAAGTATAAAAATAAAAATGCATTAAATCTCATCTCAAAGAATCCATAAAATACACACATGTAATAGACAAACATATTTATCACATATGAACTTTCATATTGATAGACTTAATTTTTTACTTATAAAGTATTTAAAAAACAGCTAATTCAAATGTTTAATAAGGGGAAAAAACTTCATTCAATATTTTCTAAAACATATTCTATGACTAATTATTTTGAGAATTAAAAGATTTTTAATTGATTATAACTTGAACAAAAGTTTTAACACAAAATCGGGTAAGATATAAAAAATAAATTATACACTTTCTTTTTAGTTATTTTATTTTTATTTTGTTCTACTTACTTTATTTGTTTTCCAAGATACATATAAAATATATTCCATTCACGGGAAAGATGTTACATCCGAAGAGACAACCACTTCATATCACTAGAATGCTGAATAAACATCAATTAACATGAAAACCAACTAAACATCAGAGGAAGGGAAAAAAGTTTCTCAGAGCAGCAGAGATTAGCAGTTTCTTCTTGCTTCATAAGGAAGAAAAAAAAAGGTAAAATTGATCGCACCTAAACGAAAATCAAAGTAACTTAATTTTGTCCTATGTCCAACCTAATGCGTCTTTCAGAAAAATACACAACCAGAATTTAGAACGCTTATCCCTCACTATATGGAGGTCGAGCGGTCCCCCATTAACACTTATCACCACGGAGTTCTATGAATCTAGGCACATTTCACATAGGGTTTATCTTAACCCGTTTACTGAATGCACAAAACCACGTAGGAATGAAAAAAAAAACATATCGTCATACACAAACCAGAAAGAGAATAAATATTAACTTAAAATCCTTACAACATATGATATGCCCAGTTATTCATTTCTACTTGTTTTCACAATCCTTGTACAGATACGCAGAGACTTGAAATACAACAACTCCACGTAAACTGTACCTATGGCTCCACAATAATTTTTCCAGTAGCGTGGCCATCAATGCTCTTAGCCCAAGCATCTTCAGCTTTGCTCAAAGGAAACTTAGAGTCAATTACAGACTTAAGTTTTCCATCTTTCAATAATTGAACTAGATGATCCAGGCCTTCACGCTTGACATTTACGAAATATGGCACCAGCTGCTTCTTAGAAAAAGTAAGTTTCTTCAGAGCAAAAGTCAAAAATGTTTTTGGGGTGGGTGTTAAATCAACTACCACCCCTTTTTCACTCAGATTAGAATCAAAAGTTGACCAGGGTATTCCAGATGTACAATGTATCACTGCATCATATTTCCTACCAGATGGACTCCTCAGTGCTGCCCCCTCTGGGGTCCTGTAGTCAAGAACCTCATCTGCGCCTAAGCCCTTAACAAAGTCAATGTTGCGAGCCCCACAAGTGGCTGTGACATGGTTGTTCCCTAGTTTTGCCAGTTGAACAGCATAGTGACCTACACCACCTGAAGCAGCAGTTACTAAAACGTTCTTGGGCTCGCCAGTCTCATCAAGCTTGACTCCTGCAACTTGAGTGAGGGCATCACGAGCAGTGAGACCAGCGATGGGTAAACCCGCAGCTTCAGCAGCCGAGACTTCAGACGGTCTGGCAGCTGTTAAGCTCTCACTAGCCACAGCAAACTCAGCCAGTCCACCTCCATACTGTCACTCGGCATAAACAACCAAAATGGATATCACATACCAAACATTATAAATAACAATATCATGCAGCACATACAGCTGTAACATGCCATTTATTTCTCACTGAAAATCACGGAGCATCATCATATGTACTCTACATTTGTACTAGATTTCAGTTAGACACGCAATACACTTCCATCCAAGGTATTGTTATCTTTTGGCCGTCCTACAGACAGAGTATGACAGCAATAACACAAGCATCCTGTTTAACAACTATTCACAGCCTCTTCGGTGAATTACACGCCTCTACTTGTTAAAATTCAGACAATCTACTATTTCTAGAGATAAAGATGTTACTGAAATGGGAAATTGGAATGAAGAGAAGCATGAAATGAAATTACTTGATGAGTGAGTTTGGCAACGACTTTGACGCCAACTTGAAAATCTTTGACTTGCGTGCCAATCTCAACTATCTCTCCGGCGACATCAGTGCCTGGTTGGATGGAATTGCATGTTAGTTACAGAAATAAACGACGGAGGGAATTAAGAGTTAGGTATAGATTACGTACAAGGTATGTGGGGAAAGCTTCTTGGAAGAAACAAAGGGCGCAGAAGGCCTTTCTGAATCGTCCAATCGATCGGGTTTATGCTAATTGCTTCAAGTTTCAGTAAAACTTGGTCTGGCTCTGGAGTCGGAACGTTAACTTCAACGTGCTGCAGTTCAGATTCAGATTCAGTTACCACCAATTCTGTTAACCGATAAGTGAATTTCAAATTTCAATCACTAACCTTCAAGCCATTGGATCCTCCCCCATAGGCGTCGTACTGAACCGCGTGCATCACATTTCTCGCCATCTCCCTCTTCCTTTTCCAATTCAATTCATCTCACTCCTTTTATATCTCAAAACTACATTGCTGGATGTGATCACCTCACCTACCGTATAAGTTCTTGTTCAATTCATAACCGCAGATTAATTTAATTTAATTCTTCCAATTTTATAAAATTAATAAAAAAAAAATTTTAATTTTTAAAAAAATTACTTAATAATCATAATTTTAACTATTATTTTTATAATAATATTTATTTATTTAAAAAATATTTGTTTTTTTATCCTAAATTAATTTTTGTGTATGAGAGTATATCTTTGTCACGTACTCACGTGTTATCACTTTGTTGATTAATTTTATTTTGAGGAGAATAGTCAAAAAAAGGACTAAATATTATAAATATAATATAAGTGATAGCATAGTTTGAGTATAAAAATCATAGCGCGGGACGATTATAAAAATTATAATACGTTTAAATATTTATTTTAATTTTTATACTATTAATTGTAATTTTTACGTACATTTACACGTTTTAAAAATATTTCTGAACACATATTTAGTCAAATGCAGTCAGATTTATCTCTTTTCTTTTTTCTGGTTGAAGAAATATTATAAAAAATAGTAAATGCCTTTAATACGTATGTTCTTTGCATATTTTTGCCTTGTGGGAACACGATAGCTTCGTCTTTCTTCATCGAATTCGGGTGAAAGCTAGAAACCTACACGTGGCATACACGTACACCATATATTTATCGTTCGCATTATTATTTATTAATTATTAATATATAATGGTTGATTTTTTTATACGTGACAAGAAAAGTATTCTATAACAAGAATACCAGTCAGATTTTTTAATTTTTTTTTCCAAAACTGCTATTATTACGAAGAATAGTAGCCTGTTGGAATTCTAAAAAAAGTATAATTAAAATTATTTGTTTACTTGAGGTATTTTTTGTCACAATGTGAATTTAAAATTAATAAAAAAATTATATTATAAAAATACCACATTTTAAAAAGCATCCCAAACTAAAACATAGGTTTCAAACAATATTTTTATAAAATGTTTCTAAAAAATTGATATTTTGACAGTAAAGCCCCAAAAATTATATGCATTGAATCAGTTATTATCGACTCCTTCATCTCCTCCCATAGATGGAAGGTTTGTTGCCAATTGCCAAACTTTCCGGTATGAATACAATTTTCATGGTGATGAGATTAAATTCTATTCAATTAAGTATCGTATTTTATCAAATTCTTTTATATTATTTAAAAAAATTAAGACGACATTTTTCATGGGAAAAAAAAATTAGATTATTTTAATTTTTTAAAAATTTATATATTATAAATTTTCATAAATCAAAGCATTATATTCGTTATATTCTCATAAATTAGTTAATAAATTTAGAAGTAATAATTAAGATTAAGAAAGTATACCGAGGCATGTAATAAAAGGAATAGAGGAATTTAAGTAGGGTGAGTTGAGTGAAGAGAAGAAAGAAAAATAGATAGATGATAGGGGGAGGAGGGATGGCGGCCACCGCTGTGGCTGGGCGGTGGCAACCGCCAAACATTAGGGTTAGGAATGAGAGGAAAAGAGTAAGAGTTGTGAAAGTGAAAGCCTTTGGAAAGGGTAATAATATGAATATGGATAGGGTTTTGAAGGAGGCATGGCGAAGTGCCAACGATGGCTTTGAGCGCTTCCTCTTCGAAGCCAAGAAGACTGCGGAGCGCATCGACCGCCGTTATTCCGTTTCGCACCGCCTCTCCTCCGTCGCCAGGGCCGCCGCCGACCGAGCACGCGAGATTGATCGTGACTTCGAGATTGGACAACGGTACCGCGCTCTCACCATCGATTTCCAGAGAAACTGGCCCAAGGTACTGTAATTAGTCGTCTTTTTTCTGTTTGATAGATAGATTAATAGATATATCTTTTTTGTATTCCATAGTATTGTTGTATATTGCATTGCATTGCAGTACAGGAAGCAGCTGAGTAGCTTTCTCGATAGTCCACTCGGAAAGAGCTTTACTGTAAGTATACATTATCATTCTCTTCCATTCCTATCTCATTACATTCGCAAATACTCAGCTTCAATTTTCCCTTTTCAGACAATTTTCTTCCTATGGTTCGCATTGTCTGGTTGGCTTTTTCGCTTCCTCATTATTGCCACGTGGGTACTTCCATTTGCTGGACCTCTTCTCATTGGCACCATAGCCAATTCCTTAGTTATAAAGGTACTTTCACTGCTATTAAGACTATATGGTAGTGGTATACTGTGTCTCAAATTTTCAGTTCTCTCGATTTTATTTTAACCTTTTTATATTCTGTTTTTATTGAAATTGGATAGGGTACCTGTCCCGCTTGCAAGATGCAATTTGCTGGTTACAAGAACCAAATAATTCGATGTACAGGTTGTGGCAACATTGTGTGGCAACCCAAAGGGGATTTCTCTTCCAGAGGTGGTAGAAGCGCCTCTTCATCCAAGTCTGACCCTGATATTATTGATGTTGACTTTGAGGAGAAATGAAGACATCACCAGTTATCACTCTCCATTTGCCTTTACAAACAGATGAATAGACAATGCGTTCAGCGACTGCACATTTATTCTGTCTTCACTTTCTTTATAATTCAAGTTTGTTCTTACATAGTTGCTGTATGAAGCGCTTACAGAGTTAGTTCAATTGCATCCAAATTTGTAAATCTTTCTTTATGTTATGATAGCAGAGATGGGATGGGGAGGAAAAGGGAACAAAAATATCAAAAGAAACAGCCTGTTCTTAGCTCCAAACAGTTTCTGGAGCCATATCGTCTAGTTATGAATGCACGCAATATATAGGCAGGAGACATCATTTTTGCGTCATAATGTTTGGTTATATAGAGCATTTCGTCGTCATAAATAAAGCACATTGCCATCAAACATACTTGGGAATTTGACACTAGAATACTTAAATACATTCTTCTACAAGAAGTGCTTTCACTTTTTGCTATCTATCATGTATTCAATTTTGCCAATTTCTTTTTTTTTTTTTTTTTATTAGGGTCTTTCACCCAATTTTTCTGGAATATGGAAAATCATTGTTCACGTTTATCATGCATAAATTGATCTTATGTTTCTTTTCATTCGTTTATACTCTAACTGTAGTCATACTCAGGTGAAACTAAGTATAGACACGCTAATTGAAATTAGAATCATTTCATTATAACTCCCAAACAGACAAAGGTTAAGCAAAATCGTTATGCAGCTTATTTTAGTAACACAAGCTTTATGCAGTTCTTATATATTGGTACTAACCATAAGGTAGAAGGATAATTTTCCTGTATTTCTTTTTCCTTTATTATGTACAATGGAAAATGAACTAATTTATCTCTACACTAGCGATCCATATGAAACAATGCTGAGATGGAGAATCCTTTTAATATACATAAATTGCACAATCTCAATAACATCGTGAGAGCAGTAACGCCGGATGCTTGCAAATCTCTTATCTGATGTGCTGAGGTGGTTACATCATTAGCAGCCATGCATTTAGAAATTTGATGCCCTGTGCTGCATAATCTTCTTAGCTTTGCTTGAGAAACTTCTGATCATAAACTTGTCAGAAAAAGTCAAAGGAAGATCTTCCTCAACAGTGTCTCTTTGATCGTACCAACCAGCAGAGCTACTCTCATATTTTGGGCTGCCCCCGCTAGATACAATTGACAAATTGGGGTCTTCTGGTATATCACGATACAAGTGTTTCAATATGAAAAGAGCGGTATCATAATCCCGCCAATAGTTTCTGTCCACCAAATAGATAGATTAAATACGTCAGTTATAAAAGCAAACACGTTAAATCTGTGATATTGGTCACTCATTCTGGTAATTAAAATAATCAAAGTCAAAGTTCCAAAACAAATGCCCTCACCTATATATATCATGGATCCTTTTTATCTTTTTGGCACAAGTTAGCTATACTTCCTTAAAGAAGCCACACAATCACAATTCTCTAATCAAATATAATCGAGCAACAAAGTATACACAATATTGCATTGTTGGATAACGAGGAAAATAGGGGAACAAGCACCAAACTCAACAAATGCAGGACACAGAATGTGAGGAGCAATTATACTAATTCACAAAATCATAGGAACCAGATCATCTTAGTCACCATAGGGTCTGATTCTATAATGTCAAAATTGTTTCTAAATGAAGTGTGCATTTTTGTAATAAATACACTAAAAGAATGGAGCATTGTAAGAGGTTCCCACAATTGCTGAGTCGTAGTAAGGAACAAAAGTATATAACCTTACTCCCATAAGCAAAGAGATCGCTTCTATGATTAGAATCCATGATCACTCTATGATTAGAATCCATGACCACAGAGTGACACGAGTACTAATTTAAAAAATGATAAGCTCAATTGGTGACCTAACAATCAAACCAATAACATAGTTGCCTCATTGGCTCCAGTTCCAAACTTCCAACTATGATCTAGATAGTATGACTACAAAATGTGAAAATTGTAAATACACTTACGTATGTGAGCCAATGGCTTGCAGGTATGGATGCTCAAAGGTCTTGTCCTGCATTACAAAAAATATGTCAGATTAATAATAAAAATAAAAGCCACTATATCAGACAGAGAATTAACTAAATGGAAGAAACTTAAGGCAGCCATTAGCTTGAAAGAACCTAGGAATGGCCTTAGAAAGTAGTCCCATTTTCTTTAAAACATGTTTATCCTATATTATTTCTCGGTACAAAAATTTTGAATTTTAAATTTTAAATAGTTGCATGTACAATTTTTCTTGCTAATACCAATATCTCCTTGGAAAGAAGTAAAGAAGACCATCCAACCAGATTAAGGTGAGTGATGAGGCAAAAAGACTGAAGGGTATCAATAATAGCAATAAAATAACAAGCATACAAATTGAAAAAGTGACACATCATTACATCAGAAACTTTTGTTCCACCTGAACCCCTGGTACCCTTGAGTATCTGGCCTCTAGGATTTGCACCAACTGAACGTGCTTTAGTTAACCTAGTGACTGGTGGAGACTCCTCACTTAATATAAGTTGAGTCATTATATTGACTTTATGCAGTTTGAACCTGGAAAAGGAAGCCAGGATAGTACCTATATGGCTATATCCAAGTACATAACATCGGCTTCATTTCAAATTAAATTTATACATTGATACAATCTTATACTTAGTTTTGCACACCACCAGTTACGTGTGTTCTCATTTTGCACACCAGATTGCTAAACCAAAGAGATCAGTAACTAATTGGAACAACTTAAAACCTGAAGCATGTGATCAATTCGTCCAATCTGGCTTCCTGTCAACCTCTCTATCATAAAAGATCCATATGATGACCCTTCCTCCTCTTCAGAACTCTCCCCTACAGTACATATAGACAAGATTTTGACCAAAATTACAGGAGAACAATAGCCACATTTATGTTGCAGGATTAATTAAGTAAATATTTTTAAAACAAGCTGCAGATAGAGGGTAAAGTATGGAGTTGGAACTATCGAGTGAAAAATTAACAACTGAAAAGTTATGATGAAACGCATGCACATGTATAACAAATTATGAAGTTGTTAAAAATTCGACTGTTGATTTTTCAATCAATAGTTATAGTCCGTATTTTATCCTCTAAAATGTACCACTCAATTTAGAAAAGCCAAATCCTTTAATTACCAGAACACTATTACACTTGCAAAAACAGCATCAAGCACGTAACCTTTATGGGATTGCTAGATTTTTGCAACACATTTTACAGTGCAAACCATGGATGCATGCACACATATACATTAGGAACAAAAAATTGAGTAAAAGATAAAGTAAACCCGTAACGTCTAAGTCATATGTGAGTCTTTGATGAAATGTTATAGATAGAGCTCATGACAATGCTGCTAAAAGAGTTGCCATGAAAATTTGGCAAGCAAGCCCATGGGTTTTACAAAATATGAGTTCAGTACTACTTTTCAAGGATTATTGACAAGCTATATTAGACCCTAAGTACAATATAAACAAAGGCATTACCCATTTCATAATTATTACTAAGGAGATGTAAAAGAAAAAATTACATACACACCAATTTTCAAAACTTTAACTTTGCTGCCTTCTATAATAGTTACCAAAAAGTCAGTCTATGAAACTTACTACCTACAAGAATTACAACCTATTTTAACAGGTTAGGCACAATAACAAATTCCTTCACAAGAGCCTTCTAAAAATCAACTGCAAAATTAAGTTTACAACATCAATTTTAACGGCTTAGCAAGTTCATATTGATGTAGTATGAAAATTATTAATCCAAAAGCACCGTGGAAAGCAATAAAAGTCCACAGATCACCCAATTGACACCAACAAGTAAAATATCCCTGTGCTTTAGGACCCCATAGTAACAACAAAGAATGTGCTAAACTATCAGGAATCTTAAAAGGGATGGCATTCTCAAACTCAAGATTTTGAAATTCATTAAAAAGATGCCACCAAATGAAGAACTTGGAAGATTGTATTACCTTCTATGTTCTCCATATTCTTTGCTTGACAAACTGTAATTACTTTATCCTGCTTAGAAAACATAAATTACAATCATCATCATGCACAAGACTAGAAGATCAAATATCATGAGTGTGTGTTTTCTGTTCATTCTAACAGACCCATCATATATCTTGTGTTTCTTCATTTTTAAATTTCAATTTTTGCATGTCAGAGAACAATATTATATTTTGTCTTGTCCTACTTATACATATTACTACACTTCGTATACTAGTATATTTCTATTTTCAACAAGAATTGTGAATCTGACAATGAAAACACCAGAGTCAAGAACTCCACTCTAAAGCAAGTAAATTATAAAGCAATACAAATAAACAAATTAAAAATTTCGCCTTTGAACTTAATCATCACTATGGTGACCACAATTTTATCAGTCATTATAACAATTATCCTCTCTTAATGCTTGATGTGTCTATTTCCTTGTGCAATTCACATAAAATATCAAAAGCGATATGAGAAAAAATTAGGGAAAAATGAATTAATTGCAGCAAGCGAGAATGATAACAAATCAACATATGATTAACAACATATGACTATAATGAGTCAACATCCATTGACATAAGTGTCAAACTAAAACACTTACACCACTTAGTAAGTTTTTTATAGAATGCAAAATGGACTAATCAACCTTTGAATTATCTTATATTATCTTTTTTATCATGTACATCAAATTTCACGTAATTTTGACATTTGTAAGTATGCCATCCAAAATTTGATATTTACTGATATTTTAAAAACAGATTACTCGTTGAAATAAAGTAATGCAATGATGTACCTAATGATTTTATTTTCTTATAAATTTTATGAAGTTGATTTACTTAATAAAGCTTTTAAACCAACAATTGAATTATTTAATCTCGCATTCTATGAAAAGTTATTAAATGGTATAAGTATTCAAGTTTAACACCTAATGTCAATGAATCCTAACTCAAAATCTTCAGGGAATTTGGATAAGAAGCTGAAAACAAATAGGGTATTACAATAATTGATTGTGTATAATCAATTATTGTGACAATTGATTGTAAGAAAATTGTTGTGATTGTAAGAAAATTGTATTGTGTTCGGATATGTAGATGAAAACTGATTTTAAAATATAATAATACATTGTGTTTGAATTGTATAAAATAAGCATTTTTTTCTCAGGTGAAATTACAAATAAGGATAGTTTTGTATTTAAAATAATCAACTATGAAGGATAAAATGAGAAAATAAAAGTTAACTAGAAAATAAATTGATAGCTTTTCATCATAAGTTCTGAAATTTTGCTTACACTCTATAAGCTATTTCTTTTGTAAAAACATAATCAAAGATAAGCTGATTTCTCAAGATTTACCAAATAAAAAATAAAAGTGCTTTTTAAATATTTTTTCACATAATTCACAAAAATTATCTAATGCAAAAATAGTCTTCTTGCATCACCTTCAACCTTTTAGTTAGCTTACCCTTGCAGATTTCATATAATTCTTTATTGTCTGAGTGCGAACTGCTAGATCTTCAGTAAATTCCTACACCAAGACTTAGGGATTATTTGGTACAGATATAAATGGTCCAAAGCACACGTAGTACTAGTATCTCTGCTGCCTAACCTGAAATCCAATATGCAACCTTTTTCCTCCTCTGTGATATGGTATCAAAACAGGTCGTTTGCTGATATATTCTTTGCAGACAAGTGGCTCTATCCTGTGGTGAATTTAAAATATAGCATGTCATACGTTTTTCAGGCAAAAGATATATTTAAAACAGAAAATGTTAGCAAAAAATCATAGTTGGATCAGTATCTATCATTCTACATGCTGAAGTATGCTTTATGTTCAAGAAATATTGGTTTAGAGTTAGGGAAAGGAAAAGAGAGATAGAAAACTGTAACATTATTTAGCAGGGTGTAATATGCTGTGTTACAATCATGGTAATTAAAATCCCGATTTTGGAATCATAAAATCGTGGCTGAGTAAAATCGTTGTAACATCCCAATTTAAATCGTAAAATCCCTCAAATTGTGAGATTTTTCAATTGCACTTTAATTCTGAAAATTCCTTGAAAAGTCTCATTTGTTGAAACCTCTTTTATATCTCTTTTTTATTGAAACCAAATTTCCTCTTGCAGCTTTGAACCCTAACATTGTTGTCAATTCAACAGTCCTCCCAGTGTGTGCAGCCTGGTCTGCAGCTAAACCCAGCAGTGGTGCTAATGCCCTGAGTTCGAGTCTAGTGCTGCTGTTCTTACATCTTTTTTGTTCTGGTCTATTTTTCACTCATGCCGATGCATGACATTCTTATGGAATATGGATTAAGATTTGTGAGTGCTGGCTTTATTTAAGTGCTTCTACTGATTTGAAGTTTTTTTCCCCTAATTTATGCTATTTTATATGCATAATATGAATTTATAAGCATATGTATGAATTTTGTAAACACTTACAAAATTCCAATTTATGATTTAAGATTTTCACTCCCTTTTATGATTTAAAAGTAAAATTCCAATTTTAACTACCTTGGTTCATAGTTAAAAATAGCAAGCATAGCGACCGCAATTGCAATGGAGCGGCGCAATGCTGCTATGGCGACTTAGTAGCGCCGCGGCTGTTGCACTATGAATAGCAGCAAAAAATGGCAGAAATCGCAGCTGTTGTGACCGCCATGCTCTCCTCTCTGAAAATTCTAAATTTACCCTCTGTTTTTTAATGTTATGCGCTTTTAAGGGGGCCAATCTTGAGATTCCCCCCCCCCCCCTATTTTCTGAATCTTCTCCCTCCCTCTCGCGAGCCCTAGCTTCTCAACTCTCCACTCAGCTCATCTATGTTCTCTACGTTTCCACCACTGGAGTGTGGCCTTCGTCTTCGACAAGGCTTTTAATAGGACAGGGATGTTCTTCAGTGAAGCCTCCAACGTAAACCAAATTGTTGAGTCATCTTCATCTTTGGTCGTCTTCTTCAAGATCAACAAAGCTTCCAAAATCACCTAGAGACTTTCTGGTCATCTTCTACATATCTGGTAAACTGCACATTTTCTGGTGACTGAACTTATTTTTCTATTTTTCTTCTCTGTTCTTTTATTTCCTTCTCTGTTTTGATTCTTCTACTCTGACTTCTGTTTCAAATTTCAAAGCTTCAGGTAGAAGCAATGGCTGCTCCCGCACCCTTCGCTGTTTGTTATTTATTTCCTTCTCTGTTTTGATTCTCCTACTCTGATTTGAGTTTTCCTTTTTTGTTTTGTTCCAAATTTGTATGTTAATTTTATATTTTTCAACATGTATAAGTGTGTATTAAAACTTCATAATAGCGGTCATCTCGCTACCACTATCCCTGCTATAACGTTTTTGAGGTTGGCCACTCCCTGCCAATATCTAGGATTGACTACTATGCCTTGGTTACAATACCTTAACCTAATACTCATATTTATATTAATAATTAAGTCAAGTACTGGGACAGTTAGTACAAGTCTAGATCCACCAACTATGAGACTAAAACCAACTAAAATAAAGAAACAAATCAAGAAAGAACTTCAAAATAATCTAACTATAGCCCCATGAGGAATGGTTCACACATCCAAGTTCCAACAGTTTTGGTGGAGTTTTGGTGGATCATTAGATATACAAGTATATTTCTCACCCTTGATACTCCTCTTATTACAATCTATACATTAGAATGGATGTTCCAAACAGCATAAGAATTTAGTAAACAGAAAGAACATTAAAACAGAGGAAAACTATACAAATCAACAGGTGGCAACTCGCAAGAAATTATAATGTTTACTACTCTACTCACAATCACAGGGGAAACTTCATTAGGGCAGAAATTGTAGCAAACCTGTATGCCACTGGATCAAAGGGGTGAAAGATGTTGAATAACTGCCGACAAGCTGGCATCTCCTCTCTTATATTTTCCTGCTCCCAATATTCTTGGCCTCTACCTCTACCTGAAATTAACAAGAAAGAATACAAAGTTATCAATTTAGCTGCACATCATTAAAAACTGTACATTGGTAAGTGACTAGCACTTACAATCGTAACCTCTTTCTCTGATAAAAATATATATACTTATAAAGTTCTAACATTAACCTAATAAAGTCGACGCAGATGAAAGGTAGAAAAGTTTAGAATATATGACAAAAATCCAATAGTATTTTGATTACATCTAAGAATAATTTAGAATATCTTAGGTTATCCCTCAGGATTGGTTTGCATATTTCCTCATTATGATTTGTTTCCTTATTTTGTTAATCTGATCTAGCATTGGTAGAAATTATTACCATATAAAAAGACTTGCTTAGAAATTATTACCTACACCAATTCGGATATTACGAAGTGCAAGAAATACACCCAGAGGGGATCCAACAGCAAAGAATGTATCAACCTGGCATAAATGTAGTTTAGTCAAATCAGCAACATGACCTATAGGACCCTTTTATTATGTTTTAATGAAAATTTTTATAATTAAAAGATGTCTAAAATATCACAAAATTATGTAAGTATTTTGGGGAGGAAAAGCAAAAACCTTAGAAAGTTTTTTTTACTAATTTCCACAGAAGCTAAAGACAATAGTTTATGGAAAAAAGCTCTAAAAATAAGCTGTGTCATGAAATCACTCAGTTCTTAACCTTAACCACTGATTTACATTTAACAGGGAAAATAACAATGACCATCTTTTGTCAATGTCGAATCTGTCCGTTAAATGCATACATACATAACAGAATCGAAGTTCTTATCTGTTTCCATACCTTGAATTGAAGCTTTGTGTACTTGATAAATGGAGTATAACTCTTTGGCGCATCTTGTATGGGAGATAACTTTTTAGATAGCTGTTGTGCTGTCATGTGCGAGTAAACATCCTTATTTGCTGTGTTATTACTTATTAAATTTAAAAAAAAAAAAAAAACATAGAAAAACATCATAAAATTCTAAAGGAAAAGGAAACTAGTAGTTACCAGAATGTAGCTCTTCTTCAGTATGATTATTGCCACAATGCGATTCCAGTTCAGCTAGATTGGCTCTCAATGAATCAATCTAAACAAATAAACTTTGTCAGTGACAAGCAAGTTATAAATGCAATAAATGTTAGCAGTAGAGATAGCACAGTACTACAAAGGTATTTGTTAACCCAGAGATGGGTTGTGTTTTCAGGGGAGAGAGCCAAGAAACACAGAGAATGAAAGGGGAAAAAAAATGCTTTGGCAGTATTTATTGAATTGCAAAGAACCTAAATGGAAGGTTCTCCTTCCAAGGTTTCACCTTTCTACATCCGAGCTAATGCTCGGTTTCCAAAATGATAATAAAAAAGAATGCCACTCTTCTACCCCCTCTTCTTTTTAAGCCAAGTCTCCTCCTCTACAACTTTAACCACCCAACTATTGTAACTAACCAACTATCCTAAATAACTACTCTGGCCTATCAGAATTTCAGTATTTGTATGAATTCCACTGTACACCTTGCATATGTAGTATATAAACACACACCAAACCAAATTGGGCGACTGCTTCCTAGTACCCAAGTCATGAATCCATCCATATACCCATCTGCAATGTGCACTGCACCCATATGTGAATTAACATAATGGAAGCAGATTGGAGGATAGTTCATGGATATTAGCTTTGCTGAATCAGTAAAATAGCTTCATGAAATTCATCATATATCATAATTTTTTCTTTTCACTGTGCCACCACAAGTATGTATGGGCACAGTGGCACAGGGGTTCTGTTGTCATAGGTTGAATAATATCATGTTTAGTCTGTCATTGATCTACTTTAGGATTCTAAATCAAAGTTTGGTTACCCAAAAAATAACATCCTATTTTATAATATTTTTTACATTTTTCAGTAGTTACAAGTTTGAGAAGAAGAGGGATTCCCATTCTAAGGTTAACTGCAGTACAAGTACACATGACTGACTAATGAAATACCACCAATAGAATTTGAACCCACAACCTATGAACCAAACCTTAACACAATTTGATCCACCAGTTGAACCAACTATCATTGAGAATTTATCATCGTAAATTGATCCTATTTCTTTTTTCCTAAACATTTTTATATATAAATATCAAACATCTATTAAAATGTGTAATTAACACAATTGTATTTGTAAGTCGTAATTTCTATTTCAATGAATAATACCTAAAAAAATTAAATTTCACAATAAGGCATTGAGTTTCACCTATCAGCATTCACACTCACATGCACTCTTGTACTATGGAATTATAGCATAACTCGGTATCATCTTCTCTCTGTATGGAATCAATATTCTCATATCACCCTAGATTCCACATTCCTTCTGGCCCTCTATCATCCTCCAACCTTTTCTGTTTCACATCACCCCTTTGTTCTACTTTGATGGATATGTAACTCATGGTTCAGAATAGAGCTTGAGGCACAACCACTGAATCACAATCAGATGTTACAACAGTAACTCACATTTACATTCAAAATTAGACTACTGTGCTAGAGCTAAATCTTCCTTTAAACATAGGTGTCTAGTTTGTTTTCGCAATTAATTTTTGAGAAGGGAATAAACAAGGACACATTCTTGTAATTAATAACCAAAGCATATCATCCGAAAATAAAAACACAAAACAACCAAAGTACTAAACTCACCCTTAATTGTTGCATCTGTTGTTTGATGGACTTGGTTTCCAAGGGACTTTACTATACAGTAGGGTAATAAACAAACTAACATCCACAGTGACTCAAACCCAATGATCCACTAGAGAACAAATCAAATTGAGACAGATTGTCACATTTTGGTGAGAAGTGAGACTTACCAATACCATACCATGAAAACTGGAGAAAATGTTATAGACATCTTCACCATAGAGTGACTATAGCTCTTAATCAGAATATGGCTTGCTATTATACAGTAATATCAAATATTTCATGTCCTGCTCCTAACGTCTAAGCTTTTGGGATGAATAATGAATAGGTCGTTGAAGTGGTATTAAAGTCTACGTGATCATGTTGCTTGAAATTCAATCCTCTCTCTCACATTCTTCATAATTAAATTTAATTTTAACACAAATTATGATGGCCTCAAATCTTATACTTTTTCCATGGAGGCAGAAAGGACTTTGAAATGACAGGGTGTATTAGAGAAATAAACCATTGTTAGACATGCACCTAACAACTTAAGATCTTGGGCTGAATAACATCTTGATAATTTAATTTGTAACATGCTGCACTGCACATGATTAACACTTATGCTTTATCTTGAAGGGAAGTGAGAATGTTAATAGTAAGGGTGCCTTCAAATTTACAGCCTCTCAAAATCCCTATATTGAAAGAGGAAAACTTGCTAGAGAAGTCCATGAAAAACAAAATTTAACAAAAGTAAAAGTAGAAACCATGTACTAACCTCTTCCCTGAGCTTCTTGATTACTTCATCTTTGTAGCTTGTATTTTTACATTCTTCCTTATCCACTTGTAGCCCAACATTCATGCTCTCAGGTTTATCAAATGCATCCATCTTCTCAAAAAACATGTCACTGGAATCAGAATGGAACTCAGAAACATCTCCCTTATTACATGGTTCCAAAGAGTTAGGTTCTGCAGTAAAGTCATGTACACTTGATAATGCAGGGCCTAAAACTGAGGACTCCCCAATATTTTCTGCCTCCATTTCTGAACAAGTCTGTTGTGTATGCTTCTTTTCATCAGAGGGGTTCACCATATCAAATGTGTTATCCTGATTGATAGGTGAGTTTTGAAAAAAATCATTTTTCTTATCAGGGAGTGATTCCTCATTTTCACTGTGTTGCTTATACATCCAGTCCATTGGAAATGGGCATGACAGATTATCTTGATGGCAAAGGATATCATATGAGAGGACACTACCCAGAGAATGACCATATAATGAAACCTACACAAAAGTCAGTAGGAAGTGAACCATTATAGATATTTAAAATGCATCGAAGGAAAAATGAAGCAAATTTTCTGACTAGCATACCTTTCCATCATATCCAGGATTCCTCTTGAGAAACTTCAAATATAGTCTATTCAGTTGGTTGGATACCTAGAGAAGTGAAATTCACGGGTCAAAATATGTATTTGTCTTAATTATCTATTACAATAGTATATAAAAATCTATGCTTTTATAGCAACCTATGCAACTACTAAGAAAAAGGAAATAAGAATGTGATTGTGAATCTAGTTTTTAAAAACGGATGCAGTTTTTCATAATCATAAAATGCAAAGGTTCTCTTTATCTTTGCATCGTAATTTTGCAATTGCATAATGCATTTTGAAACAAGCATGCATATGCAAGGGAGTTTGCAGCATAGTTATCAATAGCAGCCGCGGCATAGCAGAGCAGCACAGCCCGGCTATGGCAATCCAGTAGTGTCACGCCACGAATAACGCCTGGAAATGGCAAAAATTGCAACCGCCATGCTCTCCTCTCTGAAAATTCTGAATTTCCTCTATTTTTTAATGTTGGGGACTTTTAAAGGACGCAATCTTGGGTCTTCTCCCTCCCTCTCGCGAGCCCTAGCCTCTCAACTCTCCTCTCATTTCATCAATAGTTATCAATAGCATAGTTATCAATAGCAGCCGCGGCATAGCAGAGCAGCACAGCCCGGCTATGGCAATCCAGTAGTGTCACACCGCGAATAACACCTGGAAATGGCAAAAATTGCAACCGCTATGCTCTGCTCTCTGAAAATTCTGAATTTCCTCTATTTTTTAATGTTGGGGGCTTTTAAAGGACGCAATCTTGGGACTTCGCCCCCCCTTATTTTCTGAGTCTTCTCCCTCCCTCTCGCGAGCCCTAGCCTCTCAACTCTCCTCTCATTTCATCTCTGATATTTATGTTTCCACCTTTGGAGTGTGGCCTTCATCTCAGGTAAGGCTTTTAACAGCAAAAGGACGTTCTTCAGTCATCTTCTTCATCCCTAGTGAAGCCTCCAATGTGACCCAAATTGTTTTGAGTCATCCTCTTCATCTCTGGTCATCTTCTTCAAGGTCAACAAAGCTTCCAACGTCATCCAAACACTTTCTGGTCATATTCTACATCTCTGGTAAATTGCACATTTTTTGGTGACTGAACTTATTTTTCTATTTTTCTTCTCTGTTTTTTTATTTCCTTCTCTATTTTGATTATCCTACTCTATTCTGTTTCAATTTTCAAAACTTCAACTAGAAGCAATGGCTGCTCCTACACCCTTCGCTGTTAGTTATTTATTTCCTTCTCTGATTTGAGTTTTCCATTTTTGTTTGGTTCCAAATTTGTGTATTAATTTTATATTTTTCCTTTTTTGTTTGGTTCCAAATTTGTGTATTAATTTTATATTTTTCAGAATGTATATTTTTGTATTAAAACTTTAGAATAGTGGTCATCCAGCTACCACTATCACCACTATAGCCCTTTTTAGGTTGGCCACTCCATGCCGCTATCCAGGATTGACTACTATGGTTTGCAGACATAAAACTCTTTTAAGCTCTTAAAATGTGTAGTCTAGGGTTTTATGGATTCTAGAGGAAATTATAGCAAGAATCAACTAAATGTTGTTTGAGTGAATTTCTAATGTTGTCTGCCATGCACAATAGATCTGAAAAATTTATAAAGACAGTTAAAGTCAAGAAGATTCAACAAAGTTTCACTCCTAGGAATATATAACCACAGTACTCCGCATAAAATTGGGCTTAAGATTTGCTATTTAAGCTTAAGCATTGCCAATGTCATTACCGCCAACATCACTTCTGCTTGGTCTAATTTAAGGGAGCAAAAAGAAATAAAGTGTTAAGATCTCATACTAGATAGGAATATAACCAAAGTACTCCTCATAAAACTTAGGCTTAATATTTGTTATTTAAGCTTACGCATTGCCAATGTCATTAATGCCACACCAAAATCACTTATGCTTGGTCTAATTTAAGGGAGTAAAATGAAATAAAGTGTTAAGATCTCATATTAGATAGGAATGTAGCCAAAGTACTCCTCATAAAACTTGGGGAATCCTTCTCCCTTGAACTAAATGTTTGGCTTAAATTAGGCTCAATCCATTTTCTAATATGGCAATTAAAGCCTAAGAATATGGACAAGTACTCATAACAAGACTTGGGCAGTTCTCTTTTCTTGATCTAATATCTGCAGTTGAATTAAGCCCAGTCAAATTATCTAATAGAAAGGCATTATTTCCTTGTTTTCATTCTATCTCCTACATTACATATATTTTATGTTCTATTGAAATCCATCCTATGCCAACCCAGTAAAGGAAATATGTAAACTATGCACCAAATTTCTTCCTTATCTTTTAAAGCAAACCAACCAAACAATGGAAGAAAGGTATTCTCAAGAAAGAATAACAACAGCTACCCAGTTCTTTGAATGTTGAAGATATTGTACAGTAATGCTAAGATATTGTGAAACCTGTGTCTAAATGAACTTTAGCTAGGACCACATCAACTTACATGCTCTCACCATTGCAATTGTTAAAGCTTTGTCTAAATGATGTGGCACAAACAACCATCAAATTTTAAATAATTTATTGTAGAATTAGTAAACTCCCATTGTAGTTTGTACAGTTCCTTATTTCATATCATTTCTGCACATTTTTTTTATGTGGAATACAGATTTCAAATCATAGAAGAAAAATAGGATAAAGTTGAAATAACAAGATTTTGTAAAAGTGTAACACAAAATTTTAAAAAAAAAATGAAAGCAGCACACACACACGTACCGAGTCAATTATGTCTTGACAGTAAATTGGGCTCATGTAGTATAGCACATCATGAACAGTTGCGCTCAGCATGACACGCAATCCCCTCACTCCATCCAAAGTTATTTTCTCAACAGCTGTTTCACCGCTCAGCTTCAAACCTTTTCTCCACTTTATAATATGAAAATGTCATTTAGTTATAGTCAAATAAAAAAAAAAGGGAGATCATGACTAACAACGTAACATTAGTAAACTCAGTAACTGAAGGTAAAAAATTTCAGTAAAAATTGCAGTGCTCTCTTGCATAGATATTTTTAATCTATACACAATACATAACAAGGAAACAACAGTCTAACAGCACCACAGGTGCTCAAAATTAAGGAAGGAAAGCATGTGAAACTGACGAATTTTCTGAACTCCTGCAGAGATATTTGGAAAATTTAGGGATTTGATGCCAGCTACAGGTCAAGATTCAGGAAACAGGTCATAAGATCAGCAATACATATCTCAATATAATCACGACATATCAGCACACAATCAGCTTTAATTTTAACCCTAACAACAAAATAAGGTCCAGTGTGACGTAAGGTGCAAAAATGGAACACAAGGGGGAGAAAGAGCTTAATTTTATAGAGAATGGAGACATAGTAAACAGCCCAAAATAGAGGGGAAACAGAATGCATAATAACACATATAACATCAGATACCTGGCATGGGATAAAGAGGACCCTCTGAGTGCCACGTTGATGTGACGTAAGGTGCTGCTCTGCAAGACTTGCCGTAATATGCCGGAAATTTCCCACATCATCAACCAAATTGGATTTTTCCAATCTTTGACCAATCCCATGAACCATAAATACCAAGTGTCGAACAGGGACCTACAAACAATTATTGTCATGCAATTGATATCAAGCAAACCATAGTAGGACAGGGGAACTACTATCTGATGAAATTCAGTTTTTTGAAAATGATAAAACAGAGAGTCCCAGGTGTCAGCAGCCAAGTATGGATAGATGGATAAGAACAGGAGAAGTATAACAAGTTAATAACGATAATAATCTTGATTTTCTGTTACATACTTGTGAACAGTAATCATCCATATCCTCCTCCTTCTGCTGCCTTAATTCATCCTATTAAAAAGTTGTAAGTTAATAATAATAGAATTGATCTGTGTACACGTTCTTCCAGAAAGAATGAACATACAATTTATTCACCTATAACTAATGACTATCCACAATACAAAATCAAACCATAAAGACAAGAAAAGAGATATCAGTCACCACAAGTAGTTAAATAAATAACATTACTGTTGCAAGAAACAGAGTAAAATTTGCTCATTCTAATGATCATTTACGTCAAATATGATACAGTTGCTGATTTTCTATGATTCTATCATAAAAAACATACTAAAGAAATAGTTGAAGCCTTGAAGGGCATACTCGACATGACTATACCAAGGTATTTGTACTCAGCATAAATACACCTTATAATCACAGAAATAGTACAAGATACAAAAATAAAGCAAAATTGGGCTGAATCACCCAAGTAAGCCAGTGATTAGATTGAAGAGTACCCAAATGGCAGACTACCTGTATCTATACATTATAGCCAATAGGAGAAAAAGATTAGAAAACCTGGGTTGGTTTAGGAGAATTTGATGGGGAGTACCCACGCCTAAGCTTGATTCCATTTCCAGCAAAACCAACAAAACTAGAAAAGCCAGAAGCATCGACATTTAGCCAGGCTTCCCAGGTATCATCTTCTCCCATAAAAAGGGCATGCAGACCCTGCATGTTCAATACCATTATACCAATATACAATAATGCACAAGATATTAAGAGACAATATCTGTCCATAAAACAAAAAAATAAATAAATTATCATCCATTTTGAAATAATCTGCATACTTGGGTGGAGCCTTGCAAATCAACCCGAGCCGCAAAAAGTCCTGACGGTTGAAATGTTCTCCGGTGCCAAACCTACAGAAACCAGTTAATGAAAACTTCTCACTTTCTGAAGAAAAGAACACAAATTGGAAACTGACTATCCTCTTCCCTACCACATGTCAAAGAAGAAAGATGCTGAAAGCCTAAATTAAACAGAAAAGCCAGAAAGAAAATTATCTAAACAGTACCAAATAAGATGTAGTGCTACTTAGTATCAGTTTTAGAGGGGAAAAAAGAAGAATAAAATTAAGAAAAACAAAGGGTTATGGAAAGATCTAAGGAAGGCAAGGCCCTTTCACAGTGAAATATTTGTTTCTATTTGATGTAAGTTGGAGAGGGGTGCTAAAATTTTCAGAGTAGTAGTAGTAGTTGCATTGATTTTTTTTATACATCAAAAATAATAATTTGAATTTTCAATAACAGACATACCTGAGCACGATAAGCAATCTCTAGTTGTTCAGCAACATCTTCACGAAGTGGTAGCCAATCAAGCCCTCCTTTACGAGCAAACCAATGGCCTCTTAGGACACGTCGATTTTCTCCATTCCAATAAACAGGGAAACAATGTCTCTTAATCAAATCTACCTGCATGGATGATCATCACAGCCTTGGGAGAAGATCTCAATTTATTCCTTTTTCTTAATGGTAAAAGTAAAAAAGAAAAGCCATATATCCTCAAATTCTAAAAATGTTAAGAGTTTGATAGGTGTTGATGTTTAACAATATCCTCGGAAGCATAAGTTAAAAATACTAACTGCTGCATATATGAATGCCAAAACACTCCATCCCTTTCTATGTTTTTGATATGCATCCGAGTTTGAAAAGGTAATATAAATAAATAAATAAATAAATATATATATATATATATATATATATATATATATATATATATAGGATCCTACACTCCTACATCTAGCCAAATATACCCAAAAAGACATAAAAACTTCACACATAAATGAAACTTGTTTATCTTGTGGGAAAAAAGGTTGACGTAAAACAAATATTTGCTTTCCACTTTTCCTTTCCATTTCTATTAAGTCCAAAGTCTTTTTTTGGTATTTTTCCCTTTCATGGAAAGTAAGATTGCATTTGCATGAGAAAGGACTAAGGCTTGGAGAAGAAATATAGAAAATTGTGCGTCAAATTCATAACGCACACAAATTTCAACGACAAACCAGACAATTGTAGGAGGGATAAAAGAACTTAAAAGAAGTCACTCCCACTATAACACAAGAAAAATTTTTAGGAATAAAAAAAGATCAAATTTTCTCTTAATTGGCTACAAAAAAGCAAAAGACAAAATAAAACAAATACCTCATACAGTCCTCCCTTAACAGGGACACCAACTCTCTCTTCCTCTATTTCATATAGTTCAGAAGATTGTGCATGTCCCAGAAAAGATCCATTAGGATGCTTATCGGAGTTGGTACTAAAACTTTGTCGTTCTCTTGGGCCTTCACTACATTCTGCATACTCTCTCCACCAGCTAGAAAGTAACTCCTCCTCTCTCTACCATTGCATGCACAAGAAAGAATCTCAGCATCTAAAGGCCACCCAAGCCCCAATTCAAACGAAAGACAAATAGAAAAAATTATCCAAGTATACATTTTATAAAATGACCTGCAAGAAATATGCTTCAATAGCCAGAGAATCTCTCATGCCAAAACGGAAATAGTCACTCTTCCCAACTATCTCTGTTCGCGGGAATGAGGCTGCCAACTCTGCAACACCACACCAAAAGAACTTATTAAAAATGTGTACAAGCGAATTCTCTGATCCTCCATGAGGAAAACACAGCACAGACAGATAGCTTTAAGAAAATAACAAATAGAGTGCTAAACGATGCATGTCTCCAGATAAAACTGAAATTGAAAGAGCTGCTAAAACCCTATGGCATGAAACAGAGAATTGATTTGCGAGGGAATTGAGTGTGTGGAAGAAAGAGGAAGATACCACTGGGAGCCAAAGGGATTTTACAAAAGTACCACCTAACATCACCGCCATCGGAGGGGCTAGCAGTCTGCGCAAGATACTTGTGTCTGGCTTTAGAGTGTTCGATCACGTCCTCCAATCTCGCAATGTTAGAAGGCGTGTTCTTGAGCAAGTCAGGGGTAGTTGCATCCACGCCCCGATGCTCTCCCCCTTCCGCCATCGCAGAATCGCCAACCCGCACCACCCAGGAAGGTTTTGCTTCGTCTCTCTCTCTCTCTCTCTCTCTCTAATATTATTATTATAATTACGATGAAAAAAATAGCAAAGAACTAAAGGGATTCTCCATACTCAAAAGGAATGACAGCAATGCCATGCGTTGAACGTCAGGTGAATTCAATCGCCACAGACCGACACCCATCTCGCAGCTCTCAATCATCAAATTTTAAAGCTATTGCCAAATTTGGTCCCAATCATTTTTTAAGCTAAATCCTAAATGCTAACAGTTGTATTTAAACGGTTGTTTTAATCGCAATCAAAATTTAATAAATAATAAATTTTAAAAATTAATATTTAATAATAATGTATGATTTTCAATAAATTTGATCTTATAATTTTTAATAAATACTAGTTATGCATAAACTATTTTTATTTTTAAATACATGTTAAAAATTACAATTTAAATAATTACAAATTAAGTAAATATATTAAAAATTGTCAAAATAAATTATTATGTTTTTCAATACATGTTCTTAACTAATAATCATAAAACACTTGCTAATAAGTTTTAATTTTATGTGAAAGATTTAGAAAAAAATGAGACCCACTTGTCCTACTATTGATGGAAATTAGTAGTTGAGTTTATTTAAATAAAAGTGATTTATATCACTTATTTAAATTTTATTGAAATGTTGAAATTTAAATTTTAGGTTAATAGACACATTTTAAATAAACTTTTATGTATTATTCATGGAGATCATGATTATATCCCGTCTCACGTTACTCTATACTGCCGATCTACAATGAAATTTTGGTTTGCACAGCCTCTTGAAGAAATGGTTTATGAACTTTAAGTTGTAAATTTGATTATTATATTTTATCAATGGCTCATTCATGCTTTCTGAAATAGTTGGTGATAATATTTTAATTAACTTGAAATACTTGATTCAATTGAAAATAATGGGATTTTGGAAGTGTGAGGAATATAAAAATAGGCTAAAATGAGTTGAGTGTGTATGAATATTTACTTACAAATATGTTTTTTTATCAGTAAGAAGTTATACAAATGTTCCATAATCTAGGAGTGCTTGATAGATTAGATAACAAGAGCACAAGGATGAGGAACAGGGAAGCATTGCAAATTAAGTGAATAGTTATAAAGGAGCCACATTCAAATAACACTTGAATAAAAACCAAAATAATACAAGATGCTTTTCTTGTACAAGAGACCAGTTTTCATTGAATTTGAGGATCTTCATGAAGATTGTCTTGTTTGAGGCTTTAGGATCAGAGATTTTTTATATCTTGGAAGAATAAGAATGAAGAATTTCCCAAAATATATTTAATGAAGGTGGTAATTACATTCTCTGTCATATAAGATAAAATATTAAAACAATCATAATTATGTGTGTAAGTGTTTTTAACAAATATAATTTTTTACAGTGTATTTTAAAATAAAAATTAACGATTACATTTATACAAATTTATTCTCAATTTTCTATTTTTTTTTCACTGTCGAGTTATATTTTTAAAGGCTTCGAAGAGAAATTGAACATTAGAAGTGAGATTATTCCCTACTCTTGATCTCTCTGTCTAACCGCTTTAAGAATTTGTCATCTCTTTTTAAATTTGTGTTTGAGAAAAATGTGTTAGTTTTAACTTAGTTCTAATTCCAATACTTTTAAGCCTTTGATATTTTTTTAACTACAATAAACTTGTGTATATGTTTTTGTTTTCATGTTAAAATTCAATTCTTTTGATAATTTTGTAACTATCAAGGGATAAATAATAAAAATTAATAATATTTAAAGAAATTTTGAATTAAAAAAAATAACATGAAAATAGATGATAAAAAAGACCAAAACACAAATCAGATAAATAAGTTGAAACAGGGTTATTTAAAAATAATCTTATCACAACTCAGATATCTCATATATTATTAATATTATTGATAATTTGATTAGTAATTAAAGGATAAAATACAACTTTTTAAAACTCAATTAAATCAATAATTTGTTAAAATCCAATTCTATATAATGTTAGAGATAGGAAATTTCTCATTATCTCATGATAAACTTAAAAATGATTTATATCAATATATAGGAAGACTCATGTCATTTTATTTGGGTGATTAAATAAAAACACATAATAACAAAACAAACAAATTCATTTTAAGATATTTTACATGTTTTCTCTTTTCATTTATCATTTTTTATAAATAAGTTATTCACAAATTGATAAGTTAAAAAAAAATATTCAAGACTTGCTTCTCAAATTTAATTAAAAAGAAGGTAGATGCAATTCTTCTAATGTTAATTTTTCGTACGTGTAATATTTAGTATTGAAATTTAAATTTAATAATTATTTAAATTTCAAATATTCAAATAATAAAATATGTATAAACTTTTACTATAACATGAGAGTTTAAAAATATAATATTAATAAAATCAATTAATCATACAATTATATATGAATAGTTAAAATTTAATTTTTTTTAAAAATATACAATTTTATAAAATTTACATGATTTGCTTGCTTTAATCTTGACCGTTTATAGTAAGATTCAATGATTAATTTGTTTTTTATTTCACTTCTATATAAAAAAAATCATTCAATATGTGTCACACATATGTATAATATTTTTATAATTCTATATATTATGTTTAAATATTTACTGTAAATAATTTTCACATATTGAAAAGGAATGAACATATAAATTATTTGAATAAACCGTGTTTAGATAAAATAATTAAAATTTTGGAGAATTTTAAATTTTAAGAAATTTAAATTTTATTATTTTAAAACAGTTTTTTGGATAAAAGAATTGAAATTTTTTATATCAAATATTTTTATTTGTATAGAGTAATTAAAATATTTATATATATATTTAAAATATTACTATATTTGACAAAATTCATTAAAATATAAAATAATATTATTAAATAATTCACAAATTAATAAAAAAATTGAATAAAAAAATAAATGAAAATAATATTTCAAATTTTTAATTTTTAAAAATTTATAATTCTTTAATTTTAATTTATTAAAACTTTCCACTAGAATTCTTAAATTTTTAAATTTTTTAAAATTAAATATCAAAATAATAAATTTTAATTGATAAAATTATAAATTCTTAAAAAAATATATTTCATTCAAACATACTCTAAAAGTTATTTTAATTTAATTTATGATCTTAAATTTAAATTTTAATAAATACAAAAAAATTTGTTATATAGAATTTTTTTTATAAAATATTTTATGATATCCAAATTATACTAGCTATATTTGGTAAAACAAGTTGAAATCTGCGAATTTATAATTTTTATCTATAGATTTGTAACTAAAAATTTATAGATATATAAATAGTTTATAAAATTAAATTATTTGACAAATTAAGTTATTAATTTATGTTTAATATTTTAAAATGACATATAATATTATATCTATATAATGCTAAAGTTAAATATAAGTTATTTTAATATATCTTATTAATAAAAATAATACTATTAATTTAAATTAAAGTTTAAATTATTTTTAAAATTATTAATATTTTAATATATTATATCAATAAATATTACACAAATTGATTTAAATAATTTTAATTTTATATTATTATTTATCTAATTAATTTATTTTATTTAACAAATGTATTATTAAATATTAATACTAAAAAAATAAAAAATACTATCATAAAAATAAAAAATAAATTCATAATAAAATTAATATACTGAATTTTAATTGTATAAATGATAAGTTATATTTTTTTAAAAATAAAAAATAAAAAAATATTAATAATTAGTTTTGGAAAGTTAACTTTCAAAAGTTATAAATACCTTTAATTTTATATTTACCAATCAATTCTACTAATTTATTAACAGAAATCAATAAATTACAAGTTTGTAAATAAGTTACAAGTTATTTTTAACAAACATAGTTATTATCATAAAAAAGTAAATTTTTTAAATATATATTTAGTAAAATAATAACTTAAAATTATTATAATTTTTTATATTTATTTGAATTTTTCTTTAAAATATCCCTTTTCTTTATAAATTATATAAGTTTTAAAAAATAAATTTAATTTACTGCTTCACAATAAATGTCTCTATTATTATGATTTAGATTCGGATATGTATGTTAATAATGATTAATTAGAATTTAGAAATATTAGTGCAAATGTGTTTGTTATTTTATTTTAATTTTAGTTGTTACTATTTTATTCGTTTTTTTTAATTTTTATTCTTGTTCCAAATCACAGTGGGAAATGATGCCAAATTTTTTGGTCATAAGTCCATAGCCGGAAACGACGTCGCAAAAAATTGACCGGCCAACTTTTAATTTTTATTTCTTAAAAATCAATAACAACAATAAATAAAATTTTACAAAGAAAAAAAATTTAAAGTGAGGTACACTTGCTCTCGTTCTCTCTCGACTAATCCCTAGCTATTGACGGAGGCTCTCTCTCCCTCTATCGACTCAGACACTCTGCCGCCTCATTCTCGCCGGCGGTTTTCTTAGCTCCGGCGCCTATATTCACCGCCGATCAGTTTCTGCCAGAACCACAGGCTCGTTTCTCATTCTTCATCTCTCTTTCTTTGTTTATCGAATTTCATAGAATTATTCTTCCTTGCACCGCATGATCTATTCTCTATTGCTGTCTGCATTGTCGTGGCAAATCACAAAAGCGTTTTTCATTATTCTTTTCGCAATTGATACATTAATGATTCGAATTCCGCAGTCATGTTCTTGAATTCTCTGGCTTTATTATTTTCGTGTAAAACAATGGGGCTTTTATAGCGAATCAAAACTCAGGATTTGTTTACTTTCGTTCATTTTTTTCTTTCAATCTTTATAGTCACGACTTTTCCTAGTTATGCAACTGTTGGCAATCTATTGTTACTCGCACTGGATTGTTGAACTTGCTGCTATTGAATATAATGTCCATTTCGTCGAGATCACTGCATAACGATAACATGTAAAGCCAATCGATTTTCATGGTTGAAGGGCGTTATTCTGTCCGTCTTTTGCTTGTGGAAGTAGGTCCATAGTTTGTTATAGGTTGAATCACGTTGAATTCTGTATCTATTTTTCTTTGCCCTAGTTTATGTTTAGACACCTCGCTAAACTGGATACACTCAATGTTCATCAATATCCTCTAATATATTGTTCCGTAAAAAGTTACTTCTTACAATACAAAATGCCGAGAGGAAATGAGCAGCAGTTCCATGCTAAATCTGCGTATATACACACTAAAAGAACGAGCTATGT